CCTGATGGCAAACACCGGGGGGGGCGGTTTTCTTGGGGGGGGGGGTTCTGCTTGCGTTTTGTACTGCGCGGCCTCTTCAAAATCATCCCTTCAGCTTGTTCAAGCCCCTTGCACTTTCCCACGCCGGGTCTCCCAAACCCTTGTTCAACAATCTGTGATCGCCAGCCATTCGGGACGGAGGAAATGACGCCACACGCGTCCCCGTCTCAAGACGTCCAAACACAACTCTTGAAGCCACTGGCACCCCTCCCCGTTTGTCTGTAACCCTAAGGACATGACTGGCCCCCCAGGAGGAGCGGACCCTGCCGCAGCCGGCGGCGACGCCCACCATAGCTTGGCGGTGGGTGCAGGGTGTCGCAGACTCTCCGAGGCGGTGTTCGAAAAGGCGGCCGAAGGAAAGTTCGTCTTGACTCTTGGCGGGGACCATTCTATCGCGTTGGGGACTTTGGCTGGCGTTCTGAGGGCGAGGCCGGACACGAGAGTGCTTTGGTGCGACGCCCACGCGGACATAAACTCCCCGAAGGGTTCGCCGAGCGGAAACATGCATGGTGAGTTATTGACCCCGCCATGCAACTGCTGTCCAAGCATGGTCATTTCGCGTGTACAATGTTTTTTGTGGCCGGGCCCTTGAAAGGGGGGGGGGGAAGTAGCAGAAAAATAGGCTCGTTTTGGTGGAAGTTGTCACGGTATCGGCTTTTTTTCTCGGATCAATTCTCGATGGAGTGGGCAGTGGTGTGCATGTGTGATGGCCTCGTGCTCCTGGTGTAAGCGGTGACCAACCCCAGCCGGTATTGCCACACTGGTATTGCCACACTGCTGTCTATTGGTTTCGAGCGAACGAGCATGTTTCGGCTGTGCTACCACCGGGTATAAGGTATACCGAGCGCAGGATAGATTCCCTTGGCCGACTTCTCTCCAAAACTCCGCGTCCCAATGCTCACACTTCTTCCACAAGATCCTCACGAGCATCTTACTGCGCTAATACCACCCCACCTAGCTTTCTCAGTGTTCACTACTCGTTGCATCGCCACGTGCATCTTTGCTTGTCAGGGATGCCGCTATCGTTCGTGATGGGCCACTCCGATCCTTCCACGGTCCGCGGCCTGGAGTGGCTCTGTGAGGCTGACGTCCCCGTCTTGCGGCCCGAGAGAATCGCGTACGTTGGCCTGCGCGACGTGGACGTCTACGAGAGGAAGATTCTGAATCACCTCAAACAAGAGCACGGGCTCTTCGCGTCGACCATGCAGGTGTCTCTTCTGCTGATTTAGCATGTACAATGGGCAGGTTTAGGCTAATGGCGAGTCAGGCAATCCCAGGGAGAGCCTAGTTTCAGCGGAACGCCCTTTAGCTCCATGGATTTCCGAGCTGTGCGATTCTAAGTCGAAGCGCACCTCTTGATGCTAATGAGTTTTTTGTTTGTTTTGTTTCTCTCCCATCATTGGACTCTGCCGTCTGCCCCTCTGGCCCCTTCCTCCACTTCTACTGGCTAGACGACCCAACCGGGGTCACATAGGAGGGGGGGGTTGGACCCCCCTCCTGCGGTTCATGCCTGAGGTATTTTTATCGCGAGAAGGGTACAGCAATCCCTTCCCTCGCGACTTACGAAGTCGATTATGGTTTACTAACAAACGAGCTTTGCAGCGCGTCGCTTTCATCCTAGACCAGGATTTATTTAGTGAGAAAAAAACTCTCCCTGCCGGGACTCGAACCCATGACCTGGCCCTTAGCAGGCTGCGAGGCTACCAACTAGACCACCGGGGCGACCGGTGTCACCAGTGAGTGTGCACAATCGATCATGGCGTTGTTTCTATGTTTGGCCTTCTGCAGGACGTGGATCGCCTAGGCATCGGGCGGGTGATGGAGCTTGCCTTGGAGGCGCTGGGCGTCACTGGAAACGGCGACGAGGAGAAAGGCGCCCCCCTGCACTTGTCGTTCGACATCGACGCTGTTGATCCGAAGGTTTGTCGTCGTTTGACGCCACCATTGAAGCCGCGGCAAGCAGTAAGAGCGTCGGTGATGTGGTTTGAGCTATCGTACACGCACTGCTGTGGTTCAACTAGGTTGGTTCCGAGGCCATCGTTGCAAGCCACATTCTCTCCTACCCCGGGTGTTCCCCGTCGCCATTCCCACAGGTTGCGCCTGCAACGGGAACTGTCGTTCGTGGAGGACTGAACTATCGCGAGGCTATGTATGTCGCGGAGTCCTGCGCCGAGACTGGTCGGCTGGGTTCAATGGATATGGTGGAGGTGAACGCCGACCTGACCGAACCATCGGCAGCCGCTGAAACGGTGCAGCTGGGCCTCGTGGCGGTGGCGTCCGCAATGGGCAGCCGCATTTTGTGAGCTAGTCGGTGATGTTGGTTGACGGTGTGTAGAAGGTGGCGCAACTGCGCCCCGGGTTGAGGGTGTGCAAACGTGGCGTGGTAGCGCCACCGCCAACCATACCTTGGGTGATATTTGTCCCGTTTTGTTTACCAGCCTCACAGTGAGGAGATGGTGGGTACTGCTAGAATGTCGTTGGCGCCCACGTGTGAACCATGTGGTGTCGTGTTCGCTCGTCTGGGGCTTTCAAGGATTTGCGATTGTGGGCCATAGGCCATAGCTCGTTAGGTCATACGTGGATATATTAAAGGGCTGGATTCTAAGATGGAAGTGATCCCAGTGTATTGGGCAAGACTGTAACAGCAGTGTACGATCGATCCATTTTATGGACGGGCCACATTCTGATACTACATGGCTGTTAATTCGGATACTTGTTATTGTGTACCAGATGATGGTTCCAGATGAGTGAGCGTTGCGTTTAAGTGACAAGAGTTGCGGGTTGGATGAACCATTTTGGTTCCACAGAGTGTTTGATGTGGTCTAGACGTCGTGTTTGTACAGCTTTAAGTCAAAGTTTCTTGAATCGAGACTCGACAGTGCGTGGTGTAATCTATTCGCGTTCTGGTGATGGTCGTTCAGAATTGTGAGTCGTAACAGTGCTGGAATCAAAACTTCGTGGTACATGGGTATCCGGTGGCGTATCGATCCCGCTGCGGTTGGTTGGTTGTTCTGTTCTTCTATGGATGCTTCGATCCATCCGGTTCACGCAGAACGTGTCCCCGCACCCCCTTGCTTACCACAAAACAATCCGAACTCTCGGTATCCAAAGCACCTGTAGATTGTACAGCTCGGATAATCTTTTTCATAATTGATATTGTTTTTCATGTCATCTATGTGTGGTACTGAGGTAGTAGCGAAGGACTCGAGAGCATGTTTCCTTCTCATTGTATTTTTCATTCCGATCATTTAGTCTACCTTACGTTGCTCTCAGCTCTTGTACCTCTCTACCCAACGGACTTGCCTCTACGTTCAGAGCTCTGATCCTTCGCCAAACACAAGCACGCGACATCCTTTGCGGTGCATGCAAGAGCATGCGTTCATTTTTAAGGAGACAAAATCCGTCCTCACTTGTACGTATTTACGCACACATAATAAATACATGCAGATAATACTTTCCTCGTACAGCCGTTCCCTTGCAGCAGCATGCATCACCACCACTCACTGCTGTAGAGGTCTTCTACTATTGACTGACGGAATTTCCCTGGGCGGGTTTGCATGCCAAAACGGGCTGGCCAACACGATGAACGAAAAGAAGATAAACATATATACTTTCATACTTTGGTTCTCTGCCCTCCGCGCTCGAGAGCTCTTTTTTCGCGATCGCTCTGCTCCTAGACCTCGTCTCGGTGTGGGACTCGCGTGCAGCGATAGCCCTGAGACGCGAGGACCTTGCCAGCGTGCGGCTCGCGATCGGGGCGGCCGCGGCGTCGCGGTAGCAAAGGGTGCAAACTCGCGCTGCGACCGGTTCTGTGACGTCACGCTTCGCAGCGTTCGGCGGCGTGCGTTA